CATTATCGGCGGCCGTTCTACATCATCGTCGACCGTTACCCAACTGATTGACTGCTTGGGCATCCAACTGGAAGTTGGCTTATCTGGTCCAGATACTTGGCAACTTCCCTAATGAGATTTTGGTGGGGTTTGAGAGTCTCAGTAGATTCCGGATATTCTGACGGTCAGGTATTCACGGAGCCTGTGGATACTGATAAACACTCCTCATGCAATCTGATAGATACTGTCCCAGAAATCACGAAAACTCGATTACATTGAACAACTCACTACCGATATACGGTATACCTCTGGGTGGTATGGCAGCTAGGCACCAGGAGGGTGCTAGAGCTGAACGCTATTATTATACCTCTGGGTCGAAAAATACTAGCTGCATGTGGTTATCAACTCACCGCAGTTTACAACTAGCCTACGCGCCACCGCTGAAGAACAGGTAAGTGATTCACTGTGCATCTGTGCAACTCAAGCTCTCGATAGGTAGTATGTGTTCACCTACCTGACCCAGACGGGCTGATCTGATCTGGTATTTCTCAGTAACACTTCAGCCGTTGGTTGCCCCTCATTTTCGATGGCTGGTGCACAGTGTGCTGCATGGTTCATTCTAACGGGGAACAAACGCACCGGTTAGGCTAGTAGCCACGCGCATTTTATGACCCAAAGTCAAAAATGGTGTCCACGAGTGGGCTACTAAATGCTTCCAATGTCAAATTCTAAAAGTGTACCGACTTCCCAGGTATGTTTTCAGCAAATTCTCTATACCACATGCACGTAGATTTCGTCCAAGGACGCTGTATGCGTATTAATTGCACTGAAAACCGCACGAAAACCAGAATGTGTCATAGAAACGGTTTTCCGCGCATTCCTCGAACGCCGGATTTTTCAATTCCGTTGTTTCGTGGTAGTGATTCATCGTCATCATCATCATCAACAACGACAGCATGACATCAGTGTTGAACACCGATGCTCCATGACTTATTTGAAAGCCTTATTGTAAAAAGAATAAAGGTGGACGGGGAAGGGACTTAGTGCTAGCTTAACACAATAATTCCGAGGTGCCTACACCTCCAGACATCCATTCAGGCAATCTGGACAGAAACTGACAACAAGAACGCCACTGACATCGGTTGGCAGCCATATCTTGTAGTGTCTCCAACCAGGCACAGTGAGGATCACGCGGTCCCCATCCTGGAAGGCGAGTAGCACCGACAGCACCCAAGCGTTTCGTGATCTCCTTCATACTCCTCTGCCA